CACCTTCTTCTTTATTTTTTTCAATATATGATAGTATTTCGAAACAAGTAAGTTTTGGCTCTCAATTTTCGTATGAAACATGTTGTAGAGAGAGAGAGAGAGAAAAAAATATATATCTCGAGATGAATCCAGTAGTAAATGGTCATATAAATTGAGGAAGGTGACTTGGATGGATTTGTCATTTTTTCTTTACTTTTTGTCTTAACCTAAAACATGTATTTGATATTTTGAATCTAATTTAAGAATATTTTGAATGAATATGAAAATTTTATAAAATTATGAGTTTTTAGTTAAATTTTTAATTTTATATTTATAGTTAATTTTAATTCTTAAGTAATACATTTATAATTTAATTAATGATACATGTACAATATTTAAATTTTTTAAATCACAAGATATAAAGAGAAAGTTTATACTAATAAAGAAAAATATCTTACCTATTTTATCAATGGATATTTTCTGGTCATATTCAAAATTTATATATTTTTCTTCTAGTGAAAACAAAATACTTTTTGATTGTTCAACTGTAATATTGTAGGTAAAATGTATCTATTGAATTGAATGCTATGGATTTTGCAATCCATCATGTCCAAAACTAGACACTAAAATGCATGTACCTTATTACCTATAATTAATTATCCTTTTATGTTTTTATGGAATTAAAATAACTTCCTAATATTAATTTCTTTCATGTATCTTCATTTTATAACGTATATTATATATATAACTAATTAATTTCTTTTTACTTTTCCTTTTCAAGAGTGTAAATGTAGGATGAATTTGTTTTATATGGTATGTACATTTGGATATATTTTTATATATAACTAATATCAGAATTATAGAAATTATAATAAGTTTTATTTTTAGTTAATAAAATGTATATATATTTTAGTAAAAGATATTTGATGTTTTAAATTACATAATTCCTTTAGATTTTAGTAAAAAAAATGTATTTGATATTTTAAATTTAATTTAGAAATATTGTGAATGAATATGAAAACTTCATAAAATTTGTATATTTAGTTAAATTTATAATTTTATGTAATAGCCAACTGTGTGTTACAGTAAACCCATATCTAAGGAGGTATTTTAACTATGTGATTTATTTACTAACTTAAAGTAAATATATTTTCTATTTTAAATAAAATAATTTTAAAAAGGATTAACAATTTAAGTACAATTATACAGAAGTGTAAAAAAATGAACTTTTAAAATTTTCAATAATGATATTTTTTAAGAATATTATAATTCTATTTCTTTAATTTTTATTACTTTAAATGAATTAATAATAATAATAATAATAATAATAACAATACTAATAATAAAATAAAAAATATATATTATATATGAATTTGACTAAACTTTTATATATAGATGTGTGTATGTATAAGTAAACATATGCCTAAATACATAAATGAAAGAGTAAATGTATATATATAAATATATAAGTAAATATATAAGTATAAATATATACAGATGTGTGTATGTATATATATGTAAATATATATGTATAAATATAAACCCAACAAAAAAAATACCATTAATGTAGCCTTAAAATGGTCTTTTTATTTATTATGTGTATTAGATTAAAATTAAAACTTTGCATATAGGTGTATATATATATTTACATATAAACCAAAGGTGGGGGAAACAAGGCAAATCCGTAAGTGGCCGCTCTGGCCTTGTATGATGTAACACCTCTACACCAAATGGTGTTAGTGCCTCAACCAGCTGGCTGGGACAAGCTTCTGGTAGGCCATATGTCGTAACTCCAGCTCCACTCTACAGCAAGCTGTCGGCCATGTGCTTACATCTACGGTTAGGAGCGGCTGCATGCGAATGGAAGGCTTGGATCAGTTCGACTTTTCCCTTGAGTCTTCTCCTACAGCACTTCTTCTTCCTCATTTCTTCTACCAACAAACAAACCCAAAAAAAAAATGGTGAGTTAAGAGAAATTAGAAGCTTCGGTGGTGAAGACATTTGGGAAAACATAATATGTGAGTGTACGAGTGAGATTGGGAGTTCAAAACTCAGTTTAAAGTAAGATTTTTTTCTCCTTGAATTGTAATCTTCCACTCTTCCTTCACACTTAAACACGTTTCTTAATAACCTTAGGACTCCAGATTGTGCAGAAGGCTTCAACCGAAGCCATTTTTCTGCAATATTTCTAGAAGTTACAGACCGAGCAGGTATGCTACTGTCCCTCTTTTTTCTCTTCCATTTAGTTAATTTAGTGAGCCTTATGTAACCTAAAATCATAATAGGATATTAGGGATTTGTTAGAAATTAATTAGAAAAAGCTAAACACTTCAGAAAACTAGAAATTAATATTACTTTCTGCAACAGTTGTGCGTATTGAGGAGTTGTCCTTTAAACTTTCAATCCAACTTTTCTTGTGATTCTTTGGCTTTATTTTGCTACTTCTATGAGGTAAGATGGGTAGTAGTTTTGTTCATAGAAAGATGGCATTTCTAGATTGCATTTCATGGGATGTGTTCTTTAAAATTGCATAAAAGAAGTGGATTTTTATATGGAAAAGGGTGAGTGTGTTCATCTTGTGCTTGATAATTATGTAATCTATTCTAATTGTATTTAATAAGTTTTTGTTATGTTTGAATATGATTGATGATGATGGACGTCTTAAAACCATAATAGAGAAGAAGAGGGATGGAAAACAGAGGCCATTAGCCGCTGTTAAGTGTTCGGGCATCAAAATGGCCCTAAAATCGTGCTTCATAGTTTCTTCTGTGTTGACACGTGAAAAAGAGGGATTGTTGGTACAAATGAATAACCTAGAACCGCCTTTAGAAGTTTGCCAACGTGCAAATGCAGAACAAAAAATAGTTGAGAGTATTTGTGCACCTAATGTAACACCCTGCTCACCGCTGTGCTTAATTTGTATATGGAATACTCTAATTATTAGGGCTTTAAGGCCACACTGAACTTATTTATTGTATTCTGTTATTAACGTAATTTGTAAATTATGTCGATTTAATTTAATTTAATTTTAATTTAATTATTTAATCATCATTTTTTTTAAATAAATGAATTTCAGAAAAAATAGAAAATAGGGGGAAAGATCTTGCGAGAAAAATCTCATGGGAATGGGCTACTTGAGTGACAGGTGCAGGATGCGCGCATAGTGTGCATGTCCCATTGCGCGTGGAAAGGAGGACAAATATGCACACGTGTCTTGTCACGTGCAGACAGAACCCATTTGCCGTTCACGTGTGTCACATCACGCGTAGACAGGCAGGTGCCGTAAATTGTGCACGTGCTGTCTATGCAGCAGGCCTGCACAGATAAGCCTATGCGCAGTAGGCCTGCACGCGGTGCCGCGACGCGCGACGCCCTGACATGCAGCAGGGTAGCTTGGCGCCTGCAGCGCGTGCGCTGGGCAGGTGAGGCCACTGTTGTCTCGAGCAATGTGTCGCCGCCCACCTCAAGTGGTGTGCTATCACTTGTGTTGTTACTGCCCGTGGAGGATTTTTTCTCATCATTTTTCATGCCAAACATCTTTTTAATCTCTCTATTCACTGGATTTCGCTACTTGGCGCGAATCCAATGGTTCCCATTCTCTATAAATAGGGGGCCCTTCCTCCCATTTTCTCCACACTTCTATTCTTCTACCTTTCAAGAGTTAGAAAGAGAGAAAGTGATCTAGAGAGAGAATGAGAGGAGAAAAGAAGAGCGGGTAGAAAAAATTATCAAAGTTTCGGTAAGAAATTTAGTGTTTCAGTAAGAAATTTAGTATTTTTTTAAATGCCTTAAAGGGTATTTTTAGAGAAAAAAAAAGATTAAATTGATAATTCTGTGATTTTTCATGTTTTGTATGCTTTGTGTTTTGTAGGCTTAATAAGTTAAATTGTTCTTGATTTCAAGCATGTAATTATAATAATATGATACTCGTGAGGTTATCTAAAAAATAAAAAGAACAAAAAAAAAAGAAAAGAAAAGTGGAATGAAACATGAATGATCCAAAGTATGTACCTGTATTGACATGCATAACGCATCAAGAATCTCATTAGACTTTTTATCTATAAGGGGTATCTATTCTTGTATCCTCATCCGGGGTATCTGTTTTCCTCCTTCCCCATCTGGTTTGAATAGTCGTAAGAACATCGCTCCTTATTGATGACGGTGTAACCTGTGACGAGAGTGGTGATGCGAATATCTATTAGGGGTCACATTTGGCTATGTACTATCATGACAATAGAATATCTGATAGGATCACTATGGTTGGTACGGCCGTGGTCATAGATCGTGCCATGGTTTGGCAAACTGGAAATGTGTCTAAGCAAATTGTCATTATCTGTATCTGATCTGGTCATTCCACATGAGTAGTCAGAAATGAAAGTTATAACGACTTCGCAAAGTATGACATGAAAATCTGAGCATTTCATGATTTATTAGATTTTTTCTATTGTTTGGTATGCTGTGTGTTTATTTTGATTATTGGCTATAACGTGATATTTTTCTTCAATAAATAAATTATTTTCATAAGGCAAGATAGGTCTATGGTGTAACCAAATGGTAAGTGTTTATGTTTAAATAATTCACCTTTTAAAACCTTACAATATTATCTAAATACTATTTTCCTTACTGAGCATACAGAACTCACTATTTCAATGCCCTCCAGATGAGGAAGATAATGAGGAACCGCCAACTGACCTACCCATTGAAATTTATGAGGATCCCATGGATTCGCAAAACTTGAATGCATGATCGTCATCACATTCTGATGAGTCCAATAGTATAATGAAAGAGGTGGTCTATTTTGTATTTTACAGCCATTTTTGGCCTCAGTTATAGATGTAATTGGAACTCATATATTTGTAAGGGATGTGTATTAATTAGTTTTGCTGCATATAATTTTTATCATGCACTCGTAATTCTGTTTCTGTATCTGACACTCACATGCCTTAATTAGCATATGGGATATCACAGATGGTAACAGAGCAGATTATGCGGACCAAATCCCTTACAACTGAGGTCGTAGGTAGAAAGACCCTTAAAATACCTAAGAAGAATAAGTCCTGTTTTCCAAATTAGACCACTAACTCAAGTCTTTCTTTCTTTTGTAGGAATGACGCGAGGAAGACCATTTATAGAGTGTATCGAGAGATCAGGAGACTAGGATCCTCCAACCAAGGCTGAATTTGCCGAACTCTTCCAAGCCATCCAAGGATTGATTACAGTTGTAGGATAGAATCAAGCCAACTCTTGTCGAATTCTTGCCCCAGAATACCGAACAGCTAAAATGTCCATTTCTTATAACATAGTAGAGTTTAGGAAGCTTAACTCGCCAAATTTTGAAGGTGGCCCAGACCCCTTAGTAGTTGAAGCTTGGATCCTACAGATAGAGAAGCTTTTCTTAATCCTGGACCTGACTGAGGAACAAAAAGTTCTCCTAGCAACCTTTATGTTAAACGGTGAAGTATAACATTGGTGGCAACTTAAGAAGGAAGTCCTACCTACCCCTACCACATGGGAAGTTTTTATAGATGCATTACTTGATAACTTTTTCCTCACTTGACGGTTGTCCAGTATGCAGCCCGTTTTATCCAATTGTCTAGGTTCGCCCCTCTATTAGTCACTATTGAAAGTCGCAAAGTTAGAAAGTTTCTAAAAGGCTTGCGTGCCGACATCTATGATTAGGTTGCGATGCTGAGACCCAGCTCGTATCTGGAGGTGCTAGAACATACCTAGTTGGCCAAAGACCTCATTTAGGTTAGGCACCAATGTATTGTCCGAGTCTATGCCCAACAACAACAACCCCAACAGCCTAGAAGAAGATTGCCTAGCCCGGTAAGTAGCCACCCTGATAAGCAAACCAGAGTTTCCCTTCCCCATGCCTTGCCTCCACCAACTAGACAGCCTGGCCGACCTTCCTAGTCCTGTCAGCATTTTTGTCGCTGGCATGGTGACTTACCCTATCGGTATATCAATCATGTTTGCTATACGTGCGGAAGAACCCAACATCTTATAAAGAATTGCCCCCAGTGGCCGAAGAATGTGGCTAGGCCTGTAACACAGGGTCGTGTGTACCACCTAGATGAACTCGATGCTCTCCCCACTCCTGATTTTATTCAGGATATGCTTTCTATTCATGATACTTTTGTCAATGCTTTGATCGATACAGGTGCTACTCACTCTTTTATTTTATGTGCATTTATTTGTAAACTTGATATTATACCAGAATCTTTAGCAAAAATATTAATGGTAGAGACTCCCTCTAGGAGATTATTAGAAGCTCATTGTATACATAAGGGTTGCAAAATAAAGGCTTTAAGGATAAAAGTATTTCTGAGCTTGATACTATTAAATTTCTCAAGATTTGATGTGTATTAACATTGGACTGGTTAGAAAAATATAGAGTAATAATTGATTATGAAAGTAAAGTTATAAGTTTACGATCCCTAAAAAAGAAATAAAATTGATTGTTATTATTTTTTCTTACGATTGAATAAATAGGAATATGGGTGTTGATCCTGCTATGTGTTCCATATTGATTGTTTGCAACTTTCTAAAAGTCTTTTCCATCGAACTTCTTGGTCTTGCTTCCTGTGATAGGTGAAAATTTTAATTGAACTGCTACCTGGAACCCAGCCGATTTTGAAGCCTCCCTATCGTATGAGTCGTGCTGAGCTAGTAGAGTTAGAAAATTATCTTTTCTGAACTAATTCTTTAGAAGTTTATCTGCCTTAGTCATTTTCCTTGGGGCGTTCCAGTATTGTTCGTGACAAAGAAGGATGGTTCCCTCAGACTCTACGTGGACTATTGGAAACTCAACCTAATAACAGTTAAAAACAAGTACCCTTACCTCGAATCGACGACCTCTTTGACTAATTTCAAGTAGCCACAGTCTTCTCTAATATCAATCTCAGAACGAGATATCACCAGCTGAGAGTCAAAGATGAAGATATTCTGAAGACCACTTTTTGGTATATATACGGTTTGCACAAGTTCAGAGTAATGTCGTTCGGGTTAACTAATGCCCTTACAGCCTTCATGGACCTCATGAACAGAGTTTTTTAGAACCTAATAGATTAGTATGTCATCATATTTACTGATGACATCTTAGTGTTCTCCAAAAGCTTAGAGGAACATGTAGTACACTTGTCTGAAGTTTTGGAGACCCTTCACTGGAACCAACTATAATGTAAACTTAGCAAATGCTCTTTCTGGTTGGATCGAGTTTCCTTCCTCGGTCATGTAATTTTAGGTAAAGGAGTTTTTATGGATCTATCTAAGGTTGAAACAGTAATCAATTGGAATCTGCCCACCAATGAGGCTGAGGTACGTAGTTTCGTTGGCTTGGTAGGTTACTATCGGTGGTTCATCGACGAATTTTCTAAGATTGTTACTCCATTGGCCCTACTCATCCAAAAGGGTGTGCCATTTATCTAGAATTATGAATGTGGTGAAAGCTTTATGGAATCAAAGTGTCGTCTTATCTCTGTTTCAGTATTGATCCTCCCTGACAACACTAGAAGGTTTCAGGTTTACCACGATGCATCTTATATTGGTTTGGGGTGCATTTTGATGCAGCATGGTAGAGTGGTTACTTATGGATCCTGACAGTTGAAATCGTATGAGCAAAACTACCCTACTCATGACCTGGAATTGACAGCCATTATCTTTGCCTTAAAAATATGGTGTTATTTCCTGTTTGGTCAAACATTTGAGATTTACACTGACCACAAGAGTTTGAAGTACATCTTCTCACAGAGAGAGTTAAATATAAGACAGAGATGCTGGATGGATCTCCTAAAGGACTATGACTGCAAGATCATCTATCACCCTAGTAGAAAAAATGTAGTTGCTGATGCACTAAGTAGAAAGAGGTCTGCAGTGTTGGCCCAAATCATGGCCTACAGTTGGAAGTTATTTGATGCTATACAGTCACTCTGTCTCAGCTACTATGGTAAACGTACCTATCTCGCTCAGATCCGAGCTCTATTAGATCTCTTCATGAAGATTTGGGAAGCTTAGCCCACAAATTAAGAACTCACCAATAATCTAGATAAGTTCTCTTCGGACAAATTTCCTGATTTCAGGATTTCATATGATGGACTATTTAGATTTCAGAACCAACAAGAGTTCCCATCGCTGTAAGGGCAAATTTTCTCAAAATCGCTCATGCCTCCAAGCTATCTATCCATCTCGATAGTACTAAGATGTACTTAGACTTAAAGCATTAATACTAGTGGTCAAGAATAAAGGACATAATTGACTATGTCTCTTGACGCCTTACTTGCTAGAGGATTAAGGTAGAACATTAGAGACCTAATGATTTGTCATAAGGCCTTTCGATTTCAAAAAGGAAGTGGGAGCATGTAACCATGAATTTTATCACCGGACTGCCCAGGACCTATTCTGGTCAAAATACTATTTAGGTAATTGTTAATAGACTAACCAAGACCACCCATTTCTTTCCCATCAAAATTATTGACTCCACCAGCAAATTGGCCCGTCTTTATGTTGATGAGATCGTTCGCCTTCATGGCATTCCCTCATCTATCATGTTTGATTGAGATCCTCAGTTTACCTCCCATTTTTTGGATAACTTTCAGGAAGCTCTGGGGTCTGGATTATACTTCAGCACTGCTTATCATCCCCAAATAGATGGTTAATCAGAACATACAATTCAAACATTGGAAGATATGTTGCGTGCTTGCGTCCTTAACTTTGGCGATAACTGGAATGAGTATCTTCTCCTATGTGAATTTGCTTATAATAACAGTTATCATTCCAACATTGGCATAACTCTGTATGAAGTCTTGTATGGTAGGGCCCTGCCGCTCTCCCACTTGTTGGAGCAAAATAAAAAACCAGCATCATTTAGGACAAAACTTCATCCAAGAGACTATTGAGAAGGTTGCGATTATTCGTGAGAACTTGGCTACTACTCAGAGCCATTAGAAGAGTTATGCCGATAATCGTAGATGACCTCTGGAATTCACCATTGGAGACCAGGTCTTGCATAAGATTTTACCCTACAAGGGAAAAATGTAGTTCAAGAAACGAGAAAAGTAAGCCCTCGGTATGTTGGACATTTTTGGATCATTGAATGTATTACACCTATGGCGTACTACCTTACTCTACCTCAAGAGTTTATGGGTTTACATGACATTGTCCACGTCTCGATGCTCAAAAGGTACCACTCTGACCATTCTCATATCATTCTTCAAGATGAGATGCAGGTACAAGTTGATATGACTTATGAGGAATTTTTTGTGGATATTCTTGGATGGACCGACAAGGTCTGGCGCAATAAGATGATTCCTATGGTGAAGGTACAACATCACATACCAAAAAAGGCGACATGGGAGTTGGAAAGTGAGACGAGGGAAAAGTTTTTGGACCTATTCGAGACAAATTTGGGGACTAAAATTTTTTAAGGTGGGGGGGGGATGTAACAGCCCACTCACTACTGTGATTAATTTATATTTGAAAAATTTTAATTATTCGGGCCTTAAGGTCACACTAAAGTCATTTATTTATTATGCAGCTTATAATTGTAATTCGTAAATTATGTAAATTTTTATTTATTTAATTTTATTTGATTTTATTTTAATTTAATTATTTAAGAAATTTCAGGAAAAACAAAAAACAGGGGGAAAAATTCGATGAGAAAAATCCTGTGGGAATAGGCTGCCCGCGCAGGCGCCCATAAGCGTGTGTGCATGCAGTGCGTGCACGATAGGCATAGGATGTGCGCAAAGTGTGCATGTCCCATCGCGCACGATGCAAAGAACAAGCTTGCGTGCTCGTCCTGTCGTGCGCAGGAAAGACTTATCTGATGCTCACGGACAGGCAGGCGCCACACACTGTGCGTGCGTCGTTTGTGCAATAGGCCTATGTGGATAGGCCTACGTGCATGGGGCCTGCACGCAGTAGGCCTACATACGGCACCCCAGCGTGCTTAAGCCCTGTGCATCTGCAGGCTAGCTTGTGCGCGTGGCATGGTAGCCTAGCGCCTACAGGCTAAGCCTGCAGTGCGTGCGCTGGGCGAGTGAGGCCATTATCACCTTAGGCAGTGTGTCGCCCCCCACCTCGGGTGGTGTGCTGCCGCTGGTGGTGTGCTGCCGCTAATGGTGTCACTGGTGGTGGAGGAAGTTTTTCTCCTTTTTTTTCGTGTCAAGCATCTTTTTACTCTCATCTCTTCACCAGATTTCACCACTTGGCACAAATCCAACGACTCTCATTTTCTATAAATAGGAGCCCTTCCTCCCATTTCTCTACACTTCCATTCTTCCACCTTTCAAGAGTTACGGAGAGAGAGAAAGTGATCTAAAAAGAGAAAGAGAGGAAGAAAAGAAGAACAGTATAAAAAAAATTATCAAGGCTTCGATAAGGAATAAGTATTTCTTTAAACATCTTAAGTTGTATTTTTAGATAAAAAAAGATTAAATTGATAAGTATGTAATTTTACCTATTTTGCATGCTTTGTATTTTGTAGGCTTAATAAGTTGAATTATTCTTGATTTCAAGCATGCTATGTGAGTGATAGACACTTGATGATTTGCATATAATTATAATAATATGAAACTAGTAAGGTTATCTAGAAAATAAAAAGAAAAAAAAAGAAAGAAAAAAAAAGTGGAATGAAGCATGAATGATTCGAAGTATGTATCTGTATTAACATGCATAACGCATCAGTGTCTCATTAGGCTTTTTATATATGAGGGGTATCTGTTTCTCTATCCCCATCCTGGGTATTTATTTTTCCCTTTCCCCATCTGGTTTGGAAAAACGTAAGAGGATCGCTCCTTATGGATGTCGGCATGCCCTCTAACGAGAGTGGTGACACAAATATCTATTAAAGGTCACCTTTGGTTAAGTAATATCGTGACCATAAAATATTTGATAGGACCACTATGGTTGGTATGGTCATGGTCATAGGTCGTGCCATGGTTTGGCAAGCTAGAAATGTGCTTGAGTAAATTGTGATTATCTGTATCTGATATGGTCATTCCACATGGATAGTCAGAATTCTGTATCTACCTTCAGAGATGGAAGTTGTAATCACTTCGCAAAATATGACACGAATGTTTGTGGGTCTAGTAAACTGAATTGTTCTTGATTTCAAGCATGCTATATGATTTATAGACACTTGATGATTTGCATGTAATAAAAATAATATAAAATCGGTATTATTATCTGAAAAATAAAAGAAACAAAAAAAAAAGAAGAAAAAGAGAAATGTGGAATGAAACATGAATGTTCTGAAGTATGTATCTATATCGATATGCATAATACATCAAGTGTCTTGTTAGGCTTTTTATCTCTGAGGGTATTTATTCTCCTAACCCCATCGAGGATATTTGTTTCTCTCCCTCATCTGGTCTGAAAAGACGTAAGAGGACCACTCTCCGTGGATGACGGCGTATTCTCTGACGAGAGTAGTGACACAAATATCTGTTAGGGATCACCTTTGGCAAAGTACTGTCATGACTATATAATATCTGATAGGATCATTATTGTCGGTATGACCATGGCCATAGATTGTACCATGGTTTGGTAAGCCAAAAATGTACCTAAGCGAATTATTGTTATCTGTATATGATATGGTCATTCCGCATGATTTGTTGAAAATTTGTATCTGCCTTCAGAGATGGAAGTTGTAACGACTTCGCGAAGCATGACACAAAAATATGAGCACTTCATGATTTATTTGATTTTCTCTATTATTTGGGGTGATGTGTGTATATTTCGATTATATTAACTTGTTGTTTTCTCTAATAAATAAATTATTTTCATAATGTAAGATAAGTCTACGAAGTAGCTAAATGGTAAGTATTTATGTTAGAATAATTCACCTTTAAAATCTTACGATGTTATTTAAATACCATTTTCCTTACTGACCATATAGAACTTACTCTTTCCAAGCCCCTCCCAGATGAAGAAGAAAATGAGCAATCGTTTGCTGACCTACGCATTGAAGTTTATGAGGATTTAGTGGATCCACAAAACTTGAGTGCATGATCGTTCTCACACTCTGGTAAGTCCAATAGCATAGTGAAAGAAGTGGCCCTCTTTTGTATTTTGACTTTGTATTTTGTAGCAAGTTTTGGCCTCAGTTATATGTATGTAATTGCGAACTCATATATATTTGTAAGGGATTTGTATTAATTTACTCTACTGCATAAAATTTTATCATGCACTCGTAATTTTATTTCTGTATCTGACAGTTATTTGCCTCTATTAGCATTTAGAATGTCACATATGGTATTAAAGCAGAATTACACGGATCAAATCCTTTACACCAAGGCCTTAGGAAGAAAGACCCTTAGAGTACGTAGGAAAGATAAGTCCTCTTTTAAAAAATTAGACCACCAGCTCACGTCTTCCTTTCTTTTGTAGGAATGACACGAGGAAGACCATCCGTAGAGCATACTGAGCGATCTGAAGCCCCGGATAACCCGAGCAGGGCTGAATTTGCCAAACTCTTACGAGCCATCCAAGGATTGACTGCAGCCGTAGGAAAAAATCAAACCAACCCTTGTCCACCTCCTACTCTAGAATACTGAACAACCGAAAGGTCCATTTCCCATAACTTAGTGGAGTTTAGGAAGCTTAACTTGCCACATTTTGAAGGTGCCCCTAACCCCTTAGCAGCTGAAGCCTGGATACTATAAATAGAGAAGCTTTTCTCTGTCTTAGACCTGACTGAGGGATAGAAGGTTCCCCTAGTAGCTTTTATGCTCAATAGTGAAGCTAAATATTTGTGGCGATTTAAAAAGGAAGTCCTACCTACCCCTACCACCTGGGAGGTTTTTATGGATGCATTCTTTGATAACTTTTTTCCAACCTATATCCAAGAAAAGGAGGAGGAATTTCAGGATCTCTGCCAAAGAAATCTAATGGTTGCCCAATATGTAGCCCGTTTTGTTCAACTCTCTAGATTTACCCCTCTAATGGTCACCCCCGAAAGCCAAAAAGTTAGGAAGTTTCTAAAGGGCCTTTATGCTGACATCTATGCCTAGGTCGTGATGCTGAGACCTAGCTCACATGTAGAGGTGCTAGAACATGTCTAGTTGGTCGAAAACTTCATCTTGGCCAAGCACCAACACATTGCCCAAGTCCATACCTAACAACAACCCCAATAACATAGAAGGAGATTGTCTGACCCAATAAGTAGCCACCTCGATTAACAAACTAGAGTTGCCCTTCCCCCTACCTTGACTCCACCAGCTTAACCTGCCTGATCTAACCAACCCTGTCAACATTGCGGTCGATCGCATGGTGAACTGCCCTATTGTTGTATCAATCATGCTTGCTATTAGTGCGGAAGCACCCAACATCTTATAAAAGACTGCCACCAGTGACCAAAAGATGTGGCTAGGCCTGTAGCTTAGGGTCGTGTGTACCACTTAGATGAATCCGGTGCTCTCCCTACTCCTATTCTCATCCAGGGTATTCTTTCTATCCATGATACTTCTGCTAAGGTTTTGATCGATACAGGTGCTACTCACTCTTTTATTTCCTATGCATTTGCTTGTAATCTTGATTTTAGGCCAGAACCTTTAGTAGAAATATTAACGATAGAAACTCCCTTTAGGGGGATTATTAGAAGTTCACTGTATACATATAGATTGTAAGATAAAGACTTCGAGGATAGAATTGTTTGTGAATCTAATATTATTAAATTTGTCAGGATTTGATGTGATATTAGGAATGGACTTGTTAAAAAAGTATAGAGTAATAATCGATTGTGAAAGTAAAATTATAGCTTTGTAGTCCCCGAAAAAGGAATAAAATTTATTGTTATTATTTTTCCTAACAATTGAATAAACAGGAATATGGGTGCTGATTCTGTTGTGTGTTCCATACCAATTGTTTGCAACTTTTCGAATATTTTTCTCATTGAACTTCCTAGTTTGTCTCCCCTGCGAGAAGTGGAGTTCCTAATTGAATTACTGCCCGGAACCCAGCCAATCTCAAACCTCGCCTATCGTATGAGTCGTGCTGAACTTACAGAGCTAGAAAATCAACTTTATGAACTAATCACCCAGAAGTTTATCTGCCCTAGTCATTCTCTTTGGGGCGCTCCTGTATTGTTTGTGAAAAAGAAGGATGGTTCTCTCAAACTCTGTGGGGATTACTGAGAACTCAACTGAGGGATAGTTAAAAGTAAGTACCCCTTACCTCAGATCGACGACCTCTTTGATCAACTGCAAAGAGCTACGGTTTTTTTTTAAATTGACCTCAGAACAGGATGCCACCAGCTAAGAGTCAAAGAAAAATATTTCGAAGACTACTTTTAGGTACAAGTACGGTCTGTATGAGTTCAGGGTGATGTCGTTCGGGTTAACATATACTCCTGCAACCTTCATGGACCTTATAAACAGTGTTTTATAGCATGCACTAGATCAGTACGTTATCGTCTTTATTGATGACATTTTAATGTACTCCAAGAGCCTGGGGAAACATGCAGTACACTTGACTAAAGTGTTAGAGTCCCTTAGTCAGAACCAACTGTATGCTAAACTTAGTAAATTCTCCTTCTAGTTAGATTGAATTTCCTTTTTCAGTCATGTAATTTTGAATGAAGATGCTTCTGCAGATCCGTCCAAGTTTGTAATAGTAGTCAACTAGAATTCGCCCACCAATGTGGCCGAGGTATGTAATTTTGTTGGTTTGGCAGGTTACTACTGGTGATTCATCGACGGATTTACTAAGTGACCCGACTAACCCTAAAGGACATACCATTTGTCTGAAATTACGAGTGTAATGAGAACTTCATGGAATTGAAGCGTTGTCTTAGCTCTACTCCTATCTTGATCCTCCTTAACAATACGAAAAGATTTCAGGTCTACTACGATGCATCTCATATCAGCTTAGGATGTGTCTTGATGTAGCATGGTAGACTGGTCGCTTATGGGTCCCGATAATTGAAATCCCATGAGTGAAACTACTCTACCCATGACCTAGAGTTGGCGGCCATTATCTTTGCTTGTAAGATATGGTGTCATTACCTGTTTGGTCAAACTTTTGAGATTTACACTGATCACAAGAGTTTGAAGTACATCTTCTCACAGAGGGAGTTAAATATGAGACAAAGATGCTGGATGGATCACCTAAAGGACTATGACTGCAAGATCATCTATCACCCCAGAAGAGGAAATGTAATTGCCAATGCACTAAGCCGAAAGGAGTTCGCATGGTTGGTCTAGACCATGGCTTCTAGTTAGAAATTGATGGATACTATGTAGTCCCTCCACTTTAGTTACTACGACAAAGGTACCTATCTTGGTCAGATTCGATCCTTACCGAATCTCATTATGAAAATCTAAGAAGCTTAGCCTATGGATCCAGAACTCACCAAGAATCTAAGTAAGTTCTCTTTTGATGAATCTCCTAATTTCAGATGATGGACTGTTTAGATTTTGGAATCGAATTTGGGTCCCCGTTGATGTAGGATCGGATGTTGTCAAGGCTGCTCATGCTTCCAAGCTATCCATCCATATCGGGAGTACCAAGATGTACTAGGACTTGAAACATCAATACTGGTGGCCAAAAATGAAGAAGGACATAGTCAACTACGTCTCTCGATGCCTCACTTACTAGAGGATTAGGACAAAACATCAGAGACCTGATAGTTTGTTACAAAGCATCCCGATTCCAGAATAGAAGTGAGAGCATGTAACTATGGATTTTGTCTTTGGATTACCCAGGACTTGTTCTTATCAGAACACTATTTGGGTCATTGTTGACAAGCTAACCAAGACTGCCCATTTCCTACCCATCAAAACCACTGACTCCACTAATAAATTAACCTGCCTATATGTTGATGAGATTGTTCGACTTCATGGTGTTCCCTCATCCATTGTATCTGATCGAGATCCTCGATTTACCTCCCACTTCTGGGATAGCTTTTAGGAAGCTTTGGGATCTGGATTGTATTCAGCGCCACTTATCATCCCCAAACGAATGGTCAATCAGAACATACAATGTAGATATTGGAAGATATGTTACATGCCTGCTTCCCTTGACTTTGGTGATAATTGAGATGAGTATCTTCTCCTGTGTGAATTTGCTTATAATAA